ACTTTATATGGTGCTCTAGAACCTTAATCCATTTTCTTTCCCTTAAAATGAGATTTTGGTTCTTAAAAACATACTTATCAGCAGGGTGTGGTGGCACACAACTGTAATCCATTGGCTTGGGAGGCTGAGGCAGGAGAATCACAATTTCAAAGCCAGCCTCAGCAACCCAGTGAGGCCCTAAGCAACCTAGCAAAATCCTATCTCAAAATAAAATACAAAAAGGGCTGGGGATGTGGCTCAGTGATTAAGTGCCCCTGGGTTCAATCCCAAGTACCAAAACAAACAAAAACATACCTAGAGTGTACTACAGAATGATCAGTGTCTGTTAACTCAAGGTCAACAACACTTGGCCTACAAAGTAGCAGCTCTGGCAACATAAGTCAGGTATGCTGAAAGGAACATTACAGAAAGACAGGGATGGGTGAGCAGTGCCTATCCAGGGAATTTAGATACACAGGATATATAAGGAGCATTTCTTTCAGCACAGTGCTTTTGCACAGCAGTACCCTGAAAATAATAATCTGGAAGTCCTTCATCCAGAAGGAGAATGCATAGTAACTGTAGATGAGAAGAAAAATAGCAATAAAGTACAACACTGATTATGCTGGAACTTTCATGGTAAGTTTATACCCGGTCAATAGAATTATTTGTAATATACAAAAAGAACTAAGGATAGTAATCTCAACTGAAAATGCTTCCTCTAGAAAATAGTCACACTAAAGTTTAATTAGAAGAAACAGTGAAAATTGGATAGAGAGAAATGATGGGAGAGGAGGGGAGGAGTAGGGGGGATAGGAAGGGCAGCAGAAGAGAATAGACATTATGATTGATGTATGTATATAGGTGACTCTATGACCAGTGTGATTCTGCAGTCTGTACAATTAGAAAAATGAGAAATTATATCCCAATGATACAAATGTATGAATTGCCAAGATCATTGTAATGTCATGTATAGATAATAAAAAATTTAAAAACTTAAAAAAATAAAGAAAATAAACAAAAAGAAAAAGAAAAAGAAACAGTGAAAACATGTAACCTGGTTAAACCAGATTGGACTAGAAGAGCAAATGAAAAGATTAGTGGGCCAAAGACCTAGCCAGTACTAAAATCTGAGTCCACAGAGGACTTCTCCATACAGTCATGTGTGGCTAAGGATATTGGGGGCCACATTATGTTGGGAAAGGAGGGGTGCAATGAAGACTGAAAGGTGGTAAATGATGCAAGAAGAGCTTTAAAAATAGAAAAGAAAGGAGGCAGGTAGAGAAAGAGGTGTTTCCAGAATTTTTACAAATAATTAGAAAAACATACCTAGCTATTAAGAGCAATGACATCGACGCCATTTCTAAATAAAGTCTCCAAAACATGTCATCTTTTCTGAAAAAGTTCTGAAAACAACATCCAAACATGAAAGGGAAGTTAAAGATACACAGGCAATAATGGCACTGGCTTATCACCTAAAAGCAGTTACTTTTTAAACTTTCCTCCCAACTTAAAGGTATCCATGATGTGATGTGGACATTAATTACAGACCCAGATCTGTATTTATTGATATGAAAAAACATCCGTAACGTTTTAAATGCAAGCTACAAAATTTCATCAACCCTATCATACATCTGTAACTTAAATTCCCAGCCTGGAGTCGACTGGCCAATGGGCCTGGGAAATAACTTAGTGTTTGCGCCTATGCAAGCTTTCAATAAACATACGCGTTACACGCTCACAAATCACCTGCGCAGCCCTTGCTCCTCGGTGCTACCCAGATGCCCCGGCCTCAATCTGGAGGGCGGTGGCCGCGCTCCCCGTGGGAACAGCGACTCGGGAGAACAGCACCCGCTTGGGGCAGGTCAGCTGGGAGGCCCGCTTCAGCCAGCGGAGGGACCCACCCGCGAGACTGTGTCCTGCGCAAAGGCGGCCCCCCGCGCCGGTCCCGGGGAAGCGGCGGCGGCTGGAGTCGGGCAGCAGAGCTAGGGCTGCGGAAGGGGCGCGGCCCAGCTGCCTGGCGCGCTGCTACAGCCCGGCGAAGGGCGGCTGCGGCGCGCCCCAGCTCAGCGGCCCGCGGACCAGGGGGCCCTCCCCATCCAGCACGCTCACTCGCTCGCCCTCACCGGCTGTCTGGTCCGTTCGCTCGCTCGCTCGCTCGCACGCAGGCCGACGAAGACTTTAGGCTCCGCTAGCGTAGCCGCAGCAGTCGCAGACCAGCAACGCTCCGCGACCACCGCGGCCCCGCCCTTTGTGACAGCGTCTGCCAATCGCTCGCCGGCGCTCTCGCCGCCCTCCAATCAGCGGGGAAGGGGGTGGGGCCTTGCCGCCCGACTAGGCGGTTGCTCGGACGCTTGGGGTTTGGCGTTCGCCGACCATTGTCAGTTAGGAGAGACCCGGATGTTGAGCTTTATTACTAACAACAGTAAACACCTGACTAGGGCTCAAGCCAGCAACTGGCCACTAGCCACACCGTCCGCAGCGAGAGGCGGGCTTGCAGCCTGCATGGAGCGGGGCCTTGGAGCGCCTTCCCTGGGACCCCCGATGGCCCTCTGGCGATAGGTGGGTCCCGGACATGCACTGTCCAGTGGGTGGCTTTTCCAGAGCCTGGGACACTCCTAGTGCATCCTGGACGTTAAACAAATCTTCCTTTCACCTCACCGCTCCCTAACATTTCTGGCCTTAATTGCCTCATCTGAAAAATGGGGACATTACCGTGTCTGGCTGAAGACAAGGGGGAAAGCAGATCTTTCTGTAGTTCTCGTTCGTTTACAGCTCATCCACCTTGGGAAGGTTGTAGACCAGACTGTAAAGTGGGCAGTGTGAGTTCCAAATCCCAGCCACCCTTTTTTCCTCTTCATTTCCAGCTGCTGAGCTGGGGTGTTAATAGTAACGGGCTTCAAGACAACGTGAGCCTTCGAGCCCAACATTAGCCACACTGCTTCATTCTCTGCATAGGATAGGCTGTTCCTAACAAAACTAGCAGCCTCACTCACCTACTTCACTAGGTGGATTCTTCAACTGACAAATAATCTTACTCCCACTCTGGTTCACTCATCCTCAGTTTATGACTCAGGAACCAGCCTAGGATGAATCCAACATCTAATCAGTCTCCATATTGTCTCCTTCTCTGAGTCCCTACCCACCAATCTCCACAACCCACCAAACTACCAATACACTAGGGTGTGTATGGTAAGGCCCTTGACTTCATTTGTTCTTACAATTGATTAGTTCCTTAAGCTCTGAAAAGATTAGTGGGCCAAAGAGCTAGCCAGTACTAAATTCTGAGTCCACAGAGGACTCTTCGTACAATTGGTTAGTTCCTTAAGCTCTTCACTTGCTTAATGCTGAGTAGGATGAAACTGCTTGCAGACAGACATGATGGTAAATTATCTTCATACACAGAACCAAGTACTAGTGCCTGTGATAAGAGACTTAATTTAAGTAACGAATTGTGTTTCTCAACCCTAAGCCCCAATTCACAAAATTGACAGCATAGGCTTTGGAGTCAGGCAGATGAGTTCAGTCTTGGTTTCCAACTGGAAGCTCCATCTGATCAAGTCATTCTGATCCTCATGTGCTATTTTTCAAGTGCCACATAGTTACAAGAGTCTTTACATATTGTCTCCTTCATCATAATCCTGAAAAGTTGGTATAAAGCTAAGTAAGGTAACACAATTAAACAGCTCTAAGTGCAAGAGCCAAATGTGAATCTCAGATAAAATTAAAAATCCAATCTTGTTCCACTATTCCACATTTCTCCCAGATTTTAGTCTTTATCCTTGAAATTAGAACATTACTGATCCGGTAGTATATGGAGACTAAATAAAATAGCATGAAAAGTGCCTGCTATAGGAATTCTTTTTTTCCTATCTATGATTTCATGAATCCCTAAAATCACGTCCTGATAATGAATGGATTTGGTGACAAATCTTGCTGAGTCAGATCCCACACTGGGCTTGACTCAGAGCAGGAAACTGAATATATAACCTAAAGAATAGAAAGGAAATTAATAAAAAGGATAGGAGAAGGCAATTGCTAAGTGGCCTCTTCTGCCATCAAATAATTCTCAGAGCAGGGGACACTGCTGACCTGTGAGAGCCATACAAAATCTTTGGCTGTGGGTATGAGGAACTCCCAATCCAAGGTCTTGCTAGGTTGTGAAAGCTGGCCTTGAGTTTGTGATCCTCCTGCCTCAGCATCCCAAAGTAGCTAGGATTATAATCATGCACAACTGTGCCCAGTTTCCCAGTCCAATCTTAACATGTCCAAGGAAGTTGCTAATGGCTTTAGGATCTGTAAGGCCTGGCTAGCCTACAAGATCATGCCAGATATGGCACGGCACTGGAAAAGATAGCTAGTAGGTGGGAAGGTAAGCCATTCATGTGGCAAGTGGCTACCATACTGGCCAATAGAGAGAACACATCCATCAATGCAGAATTCTGCAGGACACTGCTGCTCGGAAGGCTGACATTTCCATTTAAGTATGTGTCTCTGCTAATATTATCTGGGTTCATCCCGCTGACTCCATAAGAAAATGCAAAGCTCCAAGGATGGAAATGGATGACTAAAAGCAAAGTCAGCAAACTGTTTCTATAAAGGGGCAAATAAACATTTTAAGCTCTGTGGACCATCCAGTCACTGTTGCTAGCATTGCAGGGAGGTTGATTGTAGCCATAGACAATATGTAAACAGATATGGCTGTTTTCCAGTAAAATTTCACAAAACCAGATGATTGGTGTCCATAGTTTGCCAAATGTTTCCTTAAAGGACCTGTACAGGAATTTTTGGAATTCAGTGGAAACCCCTGAAGTATATCTCATTCTCCTTTCTCTTTCTTCTGCCAAGGCCTTTCCTAAGCTAGGACTTCCTGCCATGTAACAAAGGACTTAGGTCCTCTGTATAGCATTTGCTACCTCCAGATTCCCTACAGATTATGAAAGCCACAAATATATTTTTCCTCTAACATGCCCTAATCTTATTATGACCCTACTAAGGCTAATTAAATAAAACACACCAACCTCCATGAAACATTTATTTGTTTTACAGTATTAAGCATGGTTAAAATCAGTGCAGAAAATATCAAGTACATTGGGTAAATGGTGAGCTAGTTGTTTCAGTGTTTGCTTTGTGTAATCAGGTTAAAATAATAAGCATTAAGACAGCATCATTTACTGAAGAACACAGCTAAAGGGTGAGATATGGATACCCTGTATGCTTTACTGGCCTCCAAAGGCATTCAGGGGATCATCAAATATGTTAGACCCCTTGTGTTCAGATCTTGGTTCAGATGCCACCTGTGCAGATCGGTTTTTTGGTTTGGTTGTCTTAGCCTGGACACCGGAGGAGAATATATCATCTTTGAAAAAAGAAAGAAAAAGATTTGCTGAACAAGCAAGAAAATGGGTAATTTTAAGACACATTCACACAAACCACCAAAGAACCATTTTTGGTAATAGTAAAGGGTATCAAGAAACAAAGAAGTCAAGCCTCTTATAGTTCTGGTTTAGTTATTAATCAAATATAATCGCAGGTTGTTTTGAGCACAGATATCTTAGCTATAAAAGTGTGTATACATTCGTGAAAAAAAAAAAAAAAAGAGTGACTGGATCTCTAACCCAGACTAGAAACTTATCATCTGGGACACTGGACTTATTTCTACATTCTTTTCACTTTGGGTTTTAAAAGGAAACGGTGACTAAGAATATGCAAAAGAATCCAATACAGGGTTCACTTTCTTTCAGAATAAATACATTAATTCAAGGCATCTCAATGGTAAGAGTGAAGTCTTTGTGACTATATCCATGTTTAGTGTTCCACTTACTCTAAAGCTTGTCTTAATTATGCTGCTTGCCCAGTAATGTTACTGTTTAGATTCTGTTATACCAAGATTCCAACATGTGGATGCAAAGACAGGTACACACAAATGATAAAGACCACAGCCATTATTGGTAATAGAGAAAACTTAGAAACAAGTGAGACCACCATTAAAAGGCTAATGGCTAAATATAAAGCAGTATTACACAACCACTAAAATCAAGAAAGGAGATCTCCATGTGCTGACATGGAAAGACCTAGGAGTACCTAGGTCTTTCCTACCTAGGAGGGTAGGAAAGTACCTAGGAAGGCTCTGGGGATGTGGTTCAATGGTATGGTATATACCTAGTATATGTGAGGCCCTGGGTGTGATCCCTAGCACTATGGGGGATAAAAACAGAAAAGAAAAAGGTGACTAACAGAAACAGCAGAACAGGAAAAAAAGAAGTATATGTTTATATGTATACAAATATATATTATCATCACAATGTCTAAAAGGACATAAACCAAACTACTGATATTGCTTACATCTGAGGCTTTTTTTTTTCATTTTCTAAATTATATGACTATACCATAGTATGTATTACATTTTTGGTAAGAAACAAATGAAGTCTCCTGTACTCCACAGGGTGGGAGATAGCACACAGTTTGCTGAGGCAGTATGCCCTGTGTGGCTCTGCAACACCAACTGTCTCCCAGGTAGTCTCAAGGTCTAGATTTGGATAGGAATAATAAGAAGCATATATTTGGCCTTAACTCCCAAGTTTTAGACATAGGATACACAGGAAGCCCAACATTTATAGCTACTGGGCATCTGGCTTGCCCATTGAGCAAGCAGAAATTGTAGCATGTTCACAAACAATGAGATACCAAGTCTGATGTATGTTCTACTTCCTTGCAATCCTACTCACCTCATCTACGCCCAAGTTTTTGAAATGCTGACCCTTACTCTCTAGCTGGAACTCTGACTCAACCTACTGCATGGTACCCAACGTAGCTACCTTAGCCTACATCAACCCATGGGTCAGTTCCTAATGGATCATGCTTTCATAGCATTGCAGTGTTTATCAGATGGTTAATACAGAAAGGTTAAATTCTGGGTACCTTCATATTCCTTGATGTCTACCTTGCCAAATAATTGTTTCATCAAAATGACTATCCATAACTTACCCACACTCAGCCTAATTCAGGATTTCATAGCAAACTGAAATCTACTAGGGAACAGTTTCTAGGAAATGGCCAATACAAGTAATAGCAGACAGACCAAGGACTGAATAGGAACAATTCTCTAGATCAAACAGAGAAAAACAAACTTACCCATATCATCATCAAATATAGATTTAGCGTCTACTTTCTTTTTGGACTTTTCTTTGGGTTTTACAGTTAGGTCAGCAAAGATATCAATGTTATCATCAAATAAGTTGGATTCCAAAGTTTTCTCCTTCTCCCTTTTTTTATGTGAGGGTTTAATTGCTTCTGTAGCAAATATATCATCCTTGTTAAACCAAAACAAACAAGCAAAACAATTTTAAATTAAAAAAAAATTTCTTAATAAAAATACTTCAACACGGTACAGAAATGCAAACTATTTAGGGTGTTTGGGAATAGAGCTGCCCCACTGCCTGGAATGCACTCCTCCACATGCCTTTCTCATTATTCTATCATTAAAATACCAGCCCTACAGTGAGGCCTTCTCCATTATTCTACATATTAAAACACCAGCCCTACAGTGAGGCCTTCTCTACCTGTTCTACCTGAAGGACAGTCTCCTATCCCTACTCACCATTCTTCCCTAGTTTTATTCATGGCACTTTGTGCTATTTGAAAATATCTTAATTATCTCTTTCCCCATTTATATTTGTTTGCTCTCCCTGAGAGCTCTGAGGAATAGAGCACTTGTGGTCCTAGTTCATTCCACCTGCAGGACCCAAATGCTCAACAGATACCTATTGAGCAACAGCCACTGAAAGCCTTACTGCATGTGCCTTTGCTAAATTAGCAGGTCCAGCCAAGGCCTATTTCCTCAAAACCAAATGCTAAACATTCAAGCTACACCAATAGACTTCATATACATCAGAGAGTGGTGTGTCAAGGAAGCTGACTACAGCAACGTTCTATAAAATTTAAAAAAAAAAATCAAAACTATCAAAATCAAGACCTGGGGTTGGGAGTGTTCCTCAGTAGTAGAATGCTTGCCCAGCATGTTAGAGGCTCTGGGTGTGATACCCAATACAACAAAATGAATATAATGAATGAATGAATAAATGAATAAAATCAAGACTTTTATCAAGGATTATGACCAGCCAAAAAATATCCCTACATGCAGCAACACAACAACAACAATAAATCAAACACTTCTGTATAAATTTCAGTCATTAATTGGGAATCTTGGGCTGGGGTTGTGGCKCAGAGGTAGAGCACTTGCCTAGCATGTGTGAGCCCCTGGGTTCAATCCTCAGCACCACATAATAATAAAATAAAGATATTGTGTCCACCTACAACTAAAAAATAAATGTTTAAAAAAATAGGGATTCCTAATTATAACCATTAAGTAAATATCAGGTGTCTAGCTTAATGTAATAGATAGCATAAATGAGTCAATCAGTTGTTTTTCTTAACAGAGAAATAAGGATGAAATATTTTACTACCTCAAAAATATCTTCTGTTTTTGACATGACTTCCTGATGGCTATTAGATTTTGATTCATTCTTCTTGCCTTTCTTATCTGTAAAGAGATCATCCTCATCTTCCAAGAGGGGAAAGGGATTTGCTTTCTTTACTGGTCTTGGTTTAACAGACTGAAAGAGATCATCATCACTGCTGGCTTCACCAAGTACAGGAAACAGGGGGCTTTTTTCTTTACTCCCTGCTGGTGGGTGGGCCATGGTCTCTGATGCCTTCCCCTTGGCTTTTGATCTCTCCATGGACTGAGACCCTGGGCCCCTGGAAAAGATGTCCCCAGATTCAAACAGGTCAGCTTCACCTCTGGACTGACCCAGGGACTTTGCAAAGGGACTTCTGTCCATTGCAGGAACAGGACTATTTTCCCAAGGTGGGGCAGCAGCAGCAGCAGCAACCACTGCCTCCTGAAAGACCTCTCCACTGGCTGCTCTAGGCTGAGGTTGCCAGCCATTTGGTGAAATGGCACCATCTGCCAATTGTGCAAGGGGTCCTCTGGGTAGACTCATGTCCTCAGCCTCACTGGACTCCTGGGCAGCCAGCCGCCTGGCTGCACGGGTCTGTGGTCTGCGCTTCCCTCTCACTTTGACACGGCTCTGCAATTGGATGAAAAAAAAAAATCACATGCTGATCTGATGATAAAGTAAAAAGTATTAAAAGCTAACAGCAAAGAAATCAGTAGCATGAAGTACTGTAAGGTTATCTGGTCTCTATCAATCATTATCTGAAATACAAAAAAAATTATTTCTTAAAGATTTCCAAAGGAGTTTGCTAGCGTACTTCATTTTTGAGGCTTCTGAGAGCAGTTTATAGTGCAGTTTCAGTGTCTGCTGGGACCCCAGAATGTAGGCAGATTCACGTTCTATGACTCACAACCCTCACAGGCATTCTTCTTTTCTCTATTCCAATGTGGGCACCTTTCAAAACAAGATAGCATTGGGAGATTCTGAAACCAACCTTTATTAGGTGCTAATCTAAATTAGGCTTCAGGAGCAAAGAGGAATGACACAATAAGGAAAGAGAGGTAACCTGAGGTTCTGTTTTCTTCAAGCCAACAAATACTAAATTCAAATATTAAAAAAAATGGTTCTGAAACCAGAGCCCTTAATATAACATTGAAACATTAGTCTCTCAATAGCTATGATTTAATATTTGTGATATGTTCCAAAATATACAATCCAGTCAAGTTTTAGAGAGTACAACCTATTTTGGGCAAAGTACTTGACTGTATCTGCCTACTTCTAGGAAATTTCATGAATAATTTCAAGAAGTAGTTAATTTAAACTTAACCACCACCAAAAAAAGACTAATAAAAATTACAATAAAATGATATTTTACTTTATAAAAAATTGATCTGTAAACACTTAAAATGAATGTATTTGCTAAGGTTAAATCATTCTAGGTCTCATCACTTTAAAGATCAGCTAAGATTTCAAGAGAAGGGAGTCTAGGTAGAAAAAAGAAAAACCTTTAAAATAGAAGGAAAAGCTTCAAGAGTTCAGAGTTTATCAGAGATTCTGTGAAACAGTGTGACAGGTTTTTTACTTGAGGAGGAATTGCCATGATTTGCAAAAGGAGCCCAGGACATGGGGACAGGAGGGGAAAGCAACAGAAGTTAGAGGTGTGAGTGGAGGGTGGGGAAGAACATTCCAGGTGAGGAAGCAGCATGACTGGTGGGCAGCAGCAGGACGAAGTTTGTGTACTCAGGGAATTGAGCCTAGTGTTTGGAGTTCAGGCTGCAGTGTGGGGAGATTGGTGGGAAAGCTGGAAGCATGGCTGGGCTTCCCCTGTAAAGGGGCTTTCATACCAAACTAGAAGCTAGAATGTTCTCCTCTGCACAGTGAGAAGCCCACAGATGGCAGACACCAAATGAGATAGGGGGAAACTTCATTGTGGCTACCATGTAATGTAAATGGAACAAAAGCAGACAATGAAAAAGCAGAAGCAGAATTAGGGAGGTGGAGAAAAGTAGGAGGGGCTGAGGCAAGGATGAGGAATTAATTGTGGAATCTTCACTGTGGAATTAAAGAGGCATTTCTATCAATGAACTAGAAAGAAGCATCCAAATTATTCTGGCTAAAGGAAAGCAAGCAAGCAAAGATGTTTTCATCACCTTGTTTGCACTGTGTAAGGTGTCTGCCTGAGCTGGAAGATCGAAACTCACACCAGCCTCTGCACTGCCAGGAAGCATACTTTCCAGACCGTGGCTCCTTCCAGGTTCATTTGAAGGAAAAGCCAATTCTGGTGAAACAGGTTTTGCTCCCAAGATCTGGGGAACCGCTGAAGGCAGCAAGGCTGCTGGGTTAATTGCTAAATTTGCCTAAAGAAGAAAAATGAAACTCAGTATTTAATCTTTAACACATTAGTCTCTTACTATTTCTGTGACATGATGAGATTCGGTGTACACAATGTAGAATACAAGAGGAGAAAAAAAATGTAGGAAAATCACCTGATCTAGTCTCAGAATTAGAACAGGGGGTCACACACCTGTGCCCACCACTGTGATCAAAGAAAAGACGTTTAAGACAGAGCACACAAGAAGCAACAACTAGGTGGAATTGGGGGTGTGGCTGGAGTGGGGGGAAAGATGAGGAAATGCTTGGCAGCAGCTGAAAAAAGTGAAAATTCAAACAAGGTTTATAGATGCCACAAGGTAGGCAATGAAGATTCCAGATGTGTTATAATTACTTGTATTTTCCCGATCCGAGTGGATGGTTCTTTGGTTTTAAATGGAACGAGACCTGACGAATCCTGTATGAAATTACATTCAGTTAAAAATCCATTGGGGAAAGAGGAAGCAAAGTGTCTCAGGGATTACAGTCACGCCTGTACATAAATCTGTGATAGAGCAAAGCTGTCACTCTCCATATCATTCATTCAAATCCCTCCCAGGGCCTCAAAATCTTTGCTACCCTTACTTCACCTGTGCCCCCTCCTCTGGCATGTAGGTGGAAAGGCTCAGATCATACATGAAGAAGAGGGAGACACAGATGAGGAATAAGATTTGCAAGAGCTGTAGTCTGTCAGAACAGTAAAGCCTGATCAGCTGGCACCATTGACCTGCTGGCTATCCACCACAGTGGCATAGAGGAGCACACTGAACCTCTCCCCCAACCTGACACCACTTCTAACACTAAAGAATTGGAGTTTGGGGGGTGAGTGAGTAGAGATGTGCTAGTCCAAGTGCCTCCCTTTCTGAGCTCAAGACAGAGGCCTCAGTGACATCCAGGGACACACTCCAGCCAGACTTTTGGCCTATTCTCAGAAGAAGCTCCACAGAATTCTGAGAGGACTGCTGATGAGAAAGTCTAACAGCCATCTCAGAAATGTTGACACTTAGAAGAAACTAATAAATCACATGTGATTTATATTAACTCAAATTTCATTCTATCCCAGAGGAGAAATGGGGTCTCTAGTTGGGGAAAAAGTTCTTCACCCTAACTTAATTCCATCCTGGAACTAAATTTGGAATGGAGTCAAAAAATAATAATGATTAAGTACAGAATCATGAAATTCCAGAGTAGAAAGGGAGAATAGAGATGAAAGGGGGTAAAAGAACAGAGTGGGGAAAAAAAGAAAGGTCCTTTGGCTATTTCCTCAACTAAGAGAACTCTGAGTAACTCTGGGTCTGCATAATGGAATTAGTCTGTACTGGGATGCAAATAAAAGCTGCAGGTCCTTACAGAGGTCAGTTCTAACCTGTGATGTTTCTGGTTTCCATATGCTTTTTTCTTTGCTACCTTGAGATGACTCTGGATGTTTTTGGTTCTTGAGAGAGGAAACAGAATGGTCTTTTTTCACTACCCTCTTTTTTTCTGGTACCTTCAAAAGAAAAAGAATATCAAAGTCTGTCATGTATCAAATTTTAAAGTAAAATCATAATGTAAAAAAGGAACCTGGCTTCTGTGTTTTATAAGTCCCTTGAAAATGAAGTTGAACTAGGTAAAAGTAAAATAGCATTTTAAAGATGTCCTAGGGCTGGGGATATAGCTCAGTGGTAGAGTATTTGCCTAGCATGTATTCAATTCCCAGCATCACAAAAAAAAAAAACTGTTTTTTTTTTTTTTTTTTTTTTCAGGAGTCCTCTCTATGAGAAAAAGAAAATAGTATATAAAAAACTGAGTGGGGCAGAGGGAAAAAAAAAAAATAACACACAGGGGCTAAAACTCAGATTTAAAATTTTCTCTCTAAAAGGCCCAAAAATGCAGTCACCATATTGTATGTAATGACCATTTAAAAAAATCAAAGACATTTTTAATACAGTCAGAGGGTCTGGGTCAGTTAATGTTCTAATATTATTAGTTAGGAAACAATGTAATTTTCCTTCATCCTATAACTGGATATAGTTTCCTCTCCCACACTCCCCAACACTGAGAACAAAAGGTTGGTACCACAGGCTGGGTCTTAGCAGAGCTGAAAAGATCATCGTCTTCATCATCACCAAACAGGCTCCCAGTGCTTGGCTTTGACAACTACAATAGACAACATTTAGATTCAATATCCAAAAGAAAAGAAAAATAATTTACAAACAGAGCTCAGTGGGCCAGTGAGAGACTAYCTACCACAATAACAAACATATAATGTAGGGATCCACTAGAAACTAACCTTCGTTTTTTTGGTGCCAGCAAAAAGGTCAACATCTGGGTCATTGTCCTTTTGGAGCTTGTGACTAAAGAGGAGCTCTTCGTCCTGAAACACACCTGTGCTCTTGGGGCGGGCATCAGGATCTTGACCCTGGGAGAAAGAGAGAAGATCACATGTTATTAGATTTCTTTCTTTCTTTTTTTTGTTCTAATTTGATATACATGACAGCAGAATCCATTACAATTCCTATTACACATATAGAGCACATTTTTTCATATCTCTGATTGTACATAAAGTATATTCACACCATTTGTGTCTTCTTACACGTACTTAGGGTAATGATGTCCATCTCATTCCACCATCACTTCTAACCCATGCCCCCCCTTCCCCTCCCACCACTCTGCCCCATCTAGAGTTCATCTATTCCTCCCATGCTCCCACTCCCAACCCCACTATGAATCAGCCTCCTTATATCAGAGAAAACATTCGCCTTTTGGTTTTTAGGGATTGGCTAACTTCACGTAGCTTTATCTTCTCTAACTCCGTCCATTTATCTGAAAATGCCATCATTTTATTCTCTTTTATTGCTGAGTAATATTCCATTGTGTACATATACCATAATTTCTTTACTCACTCATCTACTGAGGGGCATCTAGGTTGGTTCCATAGTTTTGCTTTTGTGAATTGTGCTGTTATAAACATTGATGTGGCTGTGTACCTGTAGCATGCTGTTTTTAAAAACTTTGGCTATAGACCAAGGAGTGGGATAGCTGGATCAAATGGCGGTTCCAATGTGATTAGATTTCTAAGGATTTATTAGTCAAAAGTCACAAGTACCAAGATGGACACAAGAAAGGTGTCCCCTGCAGTTCTGCTTATACTGGCAAAAGGTTGAAGCAATTTATTCACATAATAGAATACTGTAGAGCTATCAAAAATAGAGGAAAGTAAATTTATGAATACAGAAAACATAATCTAGAAAGATCATCTTTCAACCCTTGTGTGGTATCTGAGCATTTATTTTTTAAAAAATCCATGAGTTCCATGAGAAACATTTTGGAATACAAACAAAATTAAATGAGTTCTCATTCCTAAAAGGAACAACAGGCACCAGTGACTTAATCCCAAAAACCAGAGTGGATCAAGCATGTATCCCTAGTCCACAGACATGGCACAGGCATGACCAGCAAGCCATCTCCTAAGCCTTCCATCCCGCTACCTTCAGACTCCATAAAAGTTATTTTTTGTTTGCTAGGATAACAGACATATAAAAATTACTGTTCACATTACTTGGTTTGAAGATATCATGCTTCAGATCTGACATTCTAAAATTCATCCCTATTCATTATTATGACAGCCTAAACAAACAAAAGATTAAGAACAAAACCCCACTTCTGAACAAATTAAATTACATTGTTAACTAATGATTAATTATTATTAATATATAAGAACCAGTTTAACACAGAAACTAAACTTAAAAGTTTCAAATCATGAAAAACAGTACCCAAACCACACACTGCATGAGAAAATACAGTAAAACATTTATATTCACTATGTGCAGCTTTCATTTACAAATAGGATTATTCCACTGGTGTAACAAAGAATTCATAAAACATTTTTGTAGAAATCAATACAAACTATTCAGTTTGATATTAAAAAAAAAAAATGGGATTCTACGAGAAGCCAAACCAGTTTTTTTCCCCAAACATCTCTGTTGAGATAACTCACACAACRTGTGCAAGCACCATCACCACAATCTAAACTTAGAACACTCTCATCACCCAAACATACCCCAAACCATTAGTGGTCACTTTCCATTCCTGACCACCCACTTTACTCAGCCCCAGGCAACCACTCATCTACTTTCTGTCTTATGGGGTACTGCGTGGTAACCGGACACCTATACATGATGTGCAATGATGAAATCAGGATAATTAACATTTCCATCTCCTTAAATATTTATCATTTCTGTGGATCAGAAAACTTCAAACTCTTTCTAAAGTTCTTTTTTTTTCTTTTCTCTTTTTTTTTTTTTAAAGAGAGAGTGAGAGAAAGAGAGAGAGAGAGAGAGAGAGAGAGAGAGAGAGAGAGAGAGTAATATTTATTTTTTAGTTCTCGGCAGACACAACATCTTTGTTGGTATATGGTGCTGGGGATCGAACCCGGGCCGCACGCATGTCAGGCGAGCGCTACCGCTTGAGCCACATCCCCAGCCCTCTAAAGTTCTTTATAAAAATAGACAATGGATTGTTGTGAATTATAGTCACCCTATTGGGCCATAGAGTATTAGAACTCATTCCTCCTATTTACTTCATACTTCTTGTCGATAAATAAATCAGCAGATTTCCCTTACCTGTGGGGGATACACACTGAGACCCCCAGTAGATACCTGAAACCTCAAGAGTATGGAAGTCTATAATCCAATGCTGTTTCTACCATAAATAAGCACCTATCACCCACTGTGGCCATACCTTCTACAGTGTGAGATGTAGAACAAAACCAGCATGGATTTCTTTCTCTTCCTTCACAAGGTGACAGATTTGTTCTTAGCATAGAGCTTAGCCACCTCTGCACATGATTTTTTTCTTTTCCTTAAGTCTATTACTTTTACCTTGCCTAAAAGGAAGGCCTCCTTATTATTTCTTTTTGGCATTTTAAAATTGCCAGTATCACTACTCTCGTGTTTGGGGGATATTATTAAGTAAAATAAGGATTTCTTAACTGCAAAAACACAAAACACTACTAAGGGACTACTGGACAGGTATCCTACACCGAGTGGATAAGCTTGACAAAGGGATGTACAATATCAAGGGTGAATGGAGAGGGATGGTGTGCAGTTTATCATGTTATGCAGAAAGGGGCACAACTTAAAACTTACAAATTTCTGGAATTTCCCATTTAAGATTTTCAGGGTATAGCTAACTGAAGGTAACTGGAACTGTGGAAAGAAAAATCTTTGATAAGGAGGGACCGTTGTAATCCATTGAATGAGTAGAAAACATTGTGCGTGCCCATTCTTCAGTGGATGCACATTCGGGTTGTTTCCATCTTTTGGCTACTATAAACAATGCTGCTGAAACATTCATATTCACATTTTTGTGTGAATGTGTTTTCATCCGTTTTGGATAAACCTAGAAGTGGAACTGCTGGGTCATGTGGTAACTCTATGCTTTCACAAGTTGAAGAACCACCAAATGGTTTTTCAAACTGATTGAACCATTTCACATTCTCAGAAGGAAAAAATGAGGGTTTCAGATTCTTCACACCTCCTCAAAACTTGTAACTCCCTTTTTTGAGTTGTAGCCTTCCTAGTGGGCATCTCATTATGGTTTTGATTAGTACTACCCTAATGACTAATGATGCAGAGTATCTTCTCATGTGTTTTGCCAATGAGTGTATTTTCTTTGTAGAAACTTCTATTTGCATCCTTTCTCTTTAAAAAAAAAAGGGGGGGTCATCTTTTTATCGAGTTTTATTACTGAGTTTTAATTCTTTCACATACTCTAAATATAATCCCTTAGCAAATATCTGAAAGAATTTTCTCCCATTCTGTGGGTCATCCTTTCACTTTCTTGATGGTCGGGGGTTTTTTTTGTGTGTGTGTGGTTTTTTTTGTAATGGGTGGGTGGGGGTTGTTTACTGGGGACTGAACTCTGGCACTCAACTACTGAGCCACATCCCCAGCCCTATTTTGCATTTTATTTAGAGCCGGGGTCTCACTGAGTTGCTTAGTGCCCCACTATTACTGAAGCTGGCTTTGAACTTGTGATCCTCCTGACTCAGCCAGCTAAGCCACAGGTATTACAGGCATGCACCACTGTACCCAGCTTTGGTGGTATTTTTTGAAGCACAACTATTTTTAATTTTAATAAAGTCCAATTTGGCTACTTTTTTGTCACCTGTACTTTTGATGTCATAGTTAAGAAAGCTTTACCTAATCTAAGGTCATAATCATTTACTCATATACTAACTGTTTTAGTTCTTACATGTATATTTGAACCATTATAAGTTCATTTTTGTGTGTAGGATGAGGTAACAATTCAACCTCTTTCTTTTGCATGTGGCTTATGAGTGGGTCAGCACTATTTGTTGAATAAATATTATTTCTCCATTGAATTATCCTGGTACCCTTATCAAAAACTGACTGTTGAAGTGTTTATTTCTGAATTCTCAATTATCTTCCACTGATCTATATATTTTAACCTTATGCCAGTACTATACTGTGATGAAGTATGTTTTGAAATCAGAGAGTGTAACTTTCTTTTTTTCCAAGATTGCTGGCTATTCTGAGTTCTTTGCACTTTTATAAAAATTTTAGGATCAGCATGTCCATTTCTGCAAAAAGCAATGAGGAATTCTGATAGGGACTGCATTCAATCTGTAGATCAATTTGGGGAATACTGTCATCTTCACATATTAAGGCTTCCAATCCATAAATATGAGATGTTTTTCTATCTATTTTAAGTCTCTAATTTCTCTCCATACTGTCATAGTTCTTAATATACAAGTCTTGCAATTCTTTTGTTAAATTTATTCCTAAGTACTTTATTTTTTTGTTGGTGCTGTTAATGGAATTGATTTCTTAATTTCATTTTCAGACTGTTTCTGGCATATAAAATTATAAATGGTTTTAAAATATTGATCTTATATTCTATAATCTTGCTGAATTTAATTACTTTGAATAGATACTTTAGGACATGCTATAGATATAGTTTAACTCTTCTTTTCCAATCTGGATGCATTTTAATTTAGTTTCTTGTCTAACTACCCTGCTTAGAATCTCCAGTACAAAGTTGATTGGAATTGGCAAGAGTGAATGTCCCTATCTATTCATGATCTTAAAGCAACAGCATTTAAAATAAAAAATAATAATAATAATAATAAATGCAGTCATGTACTCTTGTACATTGCTGGTGGGACTGCAAATTGGTGCGGCCAATTTGGAAAGCAGTATGGAGATTCCTGGGAAAGCTGGGAATGRAACCACCATTTGACCCAGCTATTGCCCTTCCAGGACTATTCCCTGAAGACCTTAAAAGAGCGCACTA